TCACATCTTCTTCATATCAGGTAAACGTTAGTCTAAATCAGGAGTCACATCTTCTTCATATCAGGTAAACGTTAGTCTAAATCAGGAGTCACATCTTCTTCATATCAGGTAAACGTTAGTCTAAATCAGGAGTCACATCTCCTTCATATCAGGTAAACGTTAGTATATAAAGTACGTGTTAGTCTAGATCACAAATCACATCTTCTTTACATCAGGTAAGCGTAAGTCTAAATCAAGAACCATCACTTTTTTGTATCAAGTAAGCGTAAGTCTTAATCAGGAGTCACCTCTTCTTTATATCAGATAAGCGTTAGTGTAGATCAAGAACCATATCTTCTTTATATCAGGTAAGCGTTGGTCTAGATCAAGAATCACCTCTTCTTTATATCAGGTAAACGTTAGTGTAGATCAAAAATCGTCTCTTTTTTGTAGCTGGTAAGCGTTAGCCTAAATCAGGAATAATCTCTTCTTTGTATCAGGTAAGCGTTAGTGTAGATCAAAAGTCACCTCTGTTTTATATCAGGTAAGTGTTAATCTAGATCAAGAGTCACCTCTTCTATATATCAGATAAGCGTTAGTGTAGATCAAAAATGATCTTTTCTTTATATCAGGAGGTCAAGAGACACCACGTTTTCTAACAGGCTATACATTTTAATTACTCTTGGTCAATATTCGCTTCTTTGTTCATATCCTTTAAGTACATTTACATTATGTACCTTCCTAATGTTGGTAAATTTACTCCACAACGTTTACAAAGTGTAGCTAGTCATTGCTGTCGACTTTAAAAAGATGCAAAACAATCATTAAAACACCGTAAACACAGGTTATCATTATTTTATATGACGTTTTTAGTAAATCTAATGAATACATTCGTCCAAATATTTTTCCCTTTTACCTAAACTTCTCTTCATCAATTTCAGGTATACTATATTTTGTGGGATCGACAGTCAATCCAATTCTTTACAATGTGATGTCTAAACGGTACAGACAAGCTTTCAAAGAAACAATTTGCTGTTGTATTTGGAAAAAGTCGATTGGTCATCAAAGAACATTTATGAGTTACACCGGATATTATAAAGGGCCTCTAGCATCGAACTTCCGGAAAACGTCACCGGATTGGAAAGGATCCGGCTACGAAGACTCAGTTGTAGAAAACGGTCGGGCACGTATAAGAAGTATGGCGCCACCTTTATATGACGAACAAGTGAAACTGTTACAGGATCAGACCCTCGATCCCGTGACCAATGGACTCACATCCGGTTTATCTAAAAATGGGAACAAATTGACCGAGCACTGTCCGACTTGTTCAGGTAACGTGTGTGCTGTGAAGGTGAACCAGAACACTATGGTTAGTACAGGAACACCTGGACACCAAACGGAACTGCTGGATATGAACAGACCGAAACTGTATCCGACAGCCGAGCTCAAAAAGGTGAAGAAAATTGGGACGTGTGTGTAGCTATAAGCGGAAGCGTCCACCTGGCTAGTGTTGCGTGTACGTGCTGATAGAATATAGAATGTGTTTGTCTATTTTAAAATCCCATGGATAACAATCGTGTCATTTACAATACCTTCGACGTTAACTTGATATAAAGTATAGCATGTTATGTAGAATGTTGAACATTCAGAAAAATAAAATGTTAATTGTATCGAAAACGGTTTCAACTCTTTTTCCACCAACGTTTTCATAATTGGAGCGTTCTAAATTTTCAAGAGATGACCTTCAAAGTATGAAGAAACAATATAACTATCATTGTTTTCATTATTTGCGGTCAGCCATATCTACATGTAACTGACCATTTAGCCTCATGCAGTAATATGTATGTTTGTTATACTTCCTCGCTTATACTTTTTGCCTTAAGTTGACATATGTAATTACCTTACTTTTGTAAGTGGTTCACTTTCCATCCGCTATACAGAGAAGTGGAATACAACACACAAGTAACCTAACTTCCCTCCCTCGGTATTAGCATCAGCACAGCTAAGTCATTTTATGTGCAACAACACTTGTTGCCGGTGCGAGACTAATCAATTTAATTCGAAAAAGGAAAAAAAAAACAGTAATCTATTCAGAAAATGCCAAGGACAAATAACTCCAAAACCAGACATATTAAAGACGTCCCTGAAAGAAGAACGCAGATGGAAATATTTTCAGAGACGAGAGAACTATGGGGATACAATGTAGTAGCACTAACTACGACGTCGGTGTAACCCTTAAATGAACTGGCTCTTACATACCCAATACAAATGTTTCTATCCCAGAACTACGGGTCAAACTACAAGATGTACACTTTGTTAATTGAATTAAAGTGTTGCTTGTGTTACTTCTTCTTCTAAATAGAATGGGGGAATTCACTATTATACCTCGTGTACCGATCGTTTGATAAAGAATATTTATCTGGTCTCAAAATAGTAAGGATAAAATAAAATAAAAACATATATAAAGACCCGGTATATAAAATCGACAGAACAACGGCAGATATTTATAACAGAAACAATTGGACTGATTTTAACCTCCCGCACAATTTAACTTAACATGAATCGACAATAACCAAGTGTGTGCCTACACCAAGTCAACAATAGCATCGTAAAGACTCAGTATCTGTAGTCACGTGATACTGACCCAACAGAACAGTCAAAGGACTCTCTCAAAAATGTAGTAAAGTACCAGAGTATAAAACAAACGGAATAGGAGACTATGGTAAACTAGGCCAAGTCAGATAACGTCAATACCAGTGAAGTGTATGTACAAATGTAGTATACTGCAAGGTAAACCACTGGGCCTTTCTCTCCATGATCACACGACAAAGCATTAGCGGACGTACATTTCAAACCAGTTAAATCTGCGTGTCTGGGCTCTTTCTACAGACCAACTATTTCTAACTTCATGACAACGGATGAATATATTTCTAAAACCTCGGCGACTCTGCAACAATCTTTCTTACGGATATTTCAACTGACCCAAGAAAGTCAAACGCATGGGGCAATACGGACTCCTTCAAAATAGCAACAGAAATAGAAAACGAACTTTAATGTATACACTTTCAACCATATAGGAAGGTAGAACACCCACCATGTAGGGAGATAGAACACCAAACATGTAGGAAAATGGAACACTAACCATGTATGGAGATAGTATACCAACCATATAGGGAGATAGAACACCAACCATATAGGGAGATAGAACACCAACCATGTAGAGAGGTAGAACACCAACCATGTAGGGAGGTAGTACACCAACCATGTAGGGAGATAGAACACCAACCATGTAGGGAGATAGAACACCAACCATGTAGAGAGGTAGAACACCAACCATGTAGGGAGATAGAACACCAACCATGTAGAGAGGTAGAACACCAACCATGTAGAGAGGTAGTACACCAACCATGTAGGGAGATAGAACACCAACCATGTAGAGAGGTAGAACACCAACCATGTAGGGAGATAGAACACCAACCATGTAGAGAGGTAGAACACCAACCATGTAGAGAGGTAGTACACCAACCATGTAGGGAGATAGAACACCAACCATGTAGAGAGGTAGAACACCAACCATGTAGGGAGATAGAACACCAACCATGTAGAGAGGTAGAACACCAACCATGTAGAGAGGTAGTACACCAACCATGTAGGGAGATAGAACACCAACCATGTAGAGAGGTAGAACACCAACCATGTAGGGAGATAGAACACCAACCATGTAGAGAGGTAGAACACCAACCATGTAGAGAGGTAGTACACCAACCATGTAGGGAGATAGAACACCAACCATGTAGAGAGGTAGAACACCAACCATGTAGGGAGATAGAACACCAACCATGTAGAGAGGTAGAACACCAACCATGTAGAGAGGTAGTACACCAACCATGTAGGGAGATAGAACACCAACCATGTAGAGAGGTAGAACACCAACCATGTAGGGAGATAGAACACCAACCATGTAGAGAGGTAGAACACCAACCATGTAGAGAGGTAGTACACCAACCATGTAGGGAGATAGAACACCAACCATGTAGAGAGGTAGAACACCAACCATGTAGGGAGATAGAACACCAACCATGTAGAGAGGTAGAACACCAACCATGTAGAGAGGTAGTACACCAACCATGTAGGGAGATAGAACACCAACCATGTAGAGAGGTAGAACACCAACCATGTAGGGAGATAGAACACCAACCATGTAGAGAGGTAGAACACCAACCATGTAGAGAGGTAGTACACCAACCATGTAGGGAGATAGAACACCAACCATGTAGAGAGGTAGAACACCAACCATGTAGGGAGATAGAACACCAACCATGTAGAGAGGTAGAACACCAACCATGTAGAGAGGTAGTACACCAACCATGTAGGGAGATAGAACACCAACCATGTAGAGAGGTAGAACACCAACCATGTAGGGAGATAGAACACCAACCATGTAGAGAGGTAGAACACCAACCATGTAGGGAGATAGAACACCAACCATGTAGAGAGGTAGAACACCAACCATGTAGGGAGATAGAACACCAACCATGTAGAGAGGTAGAACACCAACCATGTAGGGAGATAGAACACCAACCATGTAGAGAGGTAGAACACCAACCATGTAGAGAGGTAGTACACCAACCATGTAGGGAGATAGAACACCAACCATGTAGAGAGGTAGAACACCAACCATGTAGGGAGATAGAACACCAACCATGTAGAGAGGTAGAACACCAACCATGTAGAGAGGTAGTACACCAACCATGTAGGGAGATAGAACACCAACCATGTAGAGAGGTAGAACACCAACCATGTAGGGAGATAGAACACCAACCATGTAGAGAGGTAGAACACCAACCATGTAGAGAGGTAGTACACCAACCATGTAGGGAGATAGAACACCAACCATGTAGAGAGGTAGAACACCAACCATGTAGGGAGATAGAACACCAACCATGTAGAGAGGTAGAACACCAACCATGTAGAGAGGTAGTACACCAACCATGTAGGGAGATAGAACACCAACCATGTAGAGAGGTAGAACACCAACCATGTAGGGAGATAGAACACCAACCATGTAGAGAGGTAGAACACCAACCATGTAGGGAGATAGAACACCAACCATGTAGAGAGGTAGAACACCAACCATGTAGAGAGGTAGTACACCAACCATGTAGGGAGATAGAACACCAACCATGTAGGGAGGTAGAACACCAACCATGTAGGGAGGTAGAACACCAACCATGTAGAGAGGTAGAACACCAACCATGTAGGGAGATAGAACACCAACCATGTAGAGAGGTAGAACACCAACCATGTAGGGAGATAGAACACCAACCATGTAGAGAGGTAGAACACCAACCATGTAGAGAGGTAGTACACCAACCATGTAGGGAGATAGAACACCAACCATGTAGAGAGGTAGAACACCAACCATGTAGGGAGATAGAACACCAACCATGTAGAGAGGTAGAACACCAACCATGTAGGGAGATAGAACACCAACCATGTAGAGAGGTAGAACACCAACCATGTAGGGAGATAGAACACCAACCATGTAGAGAGGTAGAACACCAACCATGTAGGGAGATAGAACACCAACCATGTAGAGAGGTAGAACACCAACCATGTAGAGAGGTAGTACACCAACCATGTAGGGAGATAGAACACCAACCATGTAGAGAGGTAGAACACCAACCATGTAGGGAGATAGAACACCAACCATGTAGAGAGGTAGAACACCAACCATGTAGAGAGGTAGTACACCAACCATGTAGGGAGATAGAACACCAACCATGTAGAGAGGTAGTACACCAACCATGTAGAGAGGTAGGACACCAACCATGTAGAGAGGTAGTACACCAACCATGTAGAGAGGTAGTAAACCAACCATGTAGGGAGATAGAACACCAACCATATAGGGAGATAGAACACCAACCATGTAGAGAGATAGAACACCAACCATGTAGAGAGGTAGAACACCAACCATGTAGAGAGGTAGAACACCAACCATGTAGAGAGGTAGTACACCAACCATGTAGAGAGGTAGGACACCAACCATGTAGAGAGGTAGTACACCAACCATGTAGAGAGGTAGTAAACCAACCATGTAGGGAGATAGAACACCAACCATATAGGGAGATAGAACACCAACCATGTAGAGAGATAGAACACCAACCATGTAGAGAGATAGAACACCAACCATGTAGAGAGGTAGAACACCAACCATGTAGAGAGGTAGAACACCAACCATGTAGAGAGGTAGTACACCAACCATGTAGAGAGGTAGTACACCAACCATGAAGAGAGGTAGTACACCAACCATGTAGGGAGATAGAACACCAACCATGTAGGGAGGTAGTACAACAACCATGTAGGGAGGTAGAACACCAACCATGTAGGGAAGTAGAATACCAACCATATAGGGAGATAGAACACCAACCATGTAGGGAGATAGAACACCATCGATGGATATTGTCAACACTTCCAAAGATAGAGTATTGAAGCTTTTGGAAAAAATCTGAAAATTAAACAAAGTTAGTGGTTCTGACAATATTCCAAACGGAGTCCCTATTTAAAAAATGTTTGCTAGTCATTCTGTCCATGGACTAATAAATATATCCAAGGAAGCGTTATTCAACTGAACTTAACCTGACTGGATACATGTAGATCATGCCC